GACAACTTTAGTTCGGGCCTTGGCCAAGTAGATCAGCTTCAACTGATTATGGGAAGTTTTCTTGTGAAGGCTTAATTTACCGACTGTTGTACCAAAGATACCTCCCGTGCCCACCCTGGCGATAAAGTCTCAAAGCAAGTCTTTTGACATCGTGGCGGGGACAGCACTCATACGGAGTTCCAGGCGCTCATAGAAGGCATCTTTTCTGAAAAGTTCACTTTGATGCGGATTGTGGCTAGACGTTCATCCCTCGGGGTGAATGGCAGTAGTCAACGACGGAGGTCTTTCTCCAACCGCGAATCCCACACCGAATTTGCAGGTGCATGGCCTTAAATCGTTATTCGTAATGCGTTTGCCATGGTCGTCTCTCAACCGAAGCGGCTAGTAATTTTTCATTGCGGGCATTTTTTACGTGGCTGGTCCCAAACCCAGCGTGAAGAGACTGTTTCGCCTTCTAACTTTAGTTTGCCTCCAAACGAATGTTCTTTTGCTACCCAGAGATACTTGGTCTAGGACCGGAAGTTATGAGCTGCTTGAGTCATATGTACAAGAATCGTTTTTGGCCACTCCCAAGTGAATTTCAATCAGAGAACCTTTCTCACTTGCGTGAACTTCTACACATGAGTTGATCCACATCAACTCAGTACATTAAATTTAGCCACTATTCGTCTGTTCAATACGCTATGAACCGTATAAAATATACTAGGGGATCCAACCACACATTGCAGTGGTAGTGGTTTATACTGTTTTTCGTATAACAAACTATTCAATAGACTGAAAATTTTATTTACGAATAAACTTTAGGTTTAGTTTTGAATATGTTCACGCAATTAAATTTCATTGGAATTGCTTTCCAAATGTCTGGATACCAGCCTTTCTGTCCAGTTTATAGAGTTGTCCGCTTAATAGATTGTACTTAATAATTTTATTTTTAATAGAGCTTTCACTGTATTTTTAATTTATGAATTGTTTTTACTATCCTATCTTCTAAATTTTTAGTTTTATTCGATTTCGACCGCAATTCGCAAAAGTGGATAAGACTTCTAAAACAATCCTTGCAATTATAGTATGAATATAAATACATTGAGCGGTCTCTAAAAAATTGTTGGTGCCCTCAGCGGAAAACATGATTTTCTATGGCTGTAAGCAATCGCGAACAAGCGACCATGTCAGAGAGGTAGTTTCCATGCACCCTAAAACTGATCTCAGTACTTTTGCCCTTTTATTTCGATTTTAAAATAAAACTCGCGTTATATCGTGTATGACAGCATTTTATTGAGACTGTTTTCAGTGTTGCTACTCACCGAGCCAAACAATGAGATCGGTGTATAAAATCAAAAATGAAATTCGAATCCGGTAAGGCAGAGTCGGATTTTGCAGAAAAGTTTTAAAGATGTTATCTAATACGTTGCAATCGTATTTATCTAAATATATATCTTTATATGTATATATATATATCTTTATATGTCCGCGATAAACTAATACATTACTGAACCGATTTTGTTTACTACTATTTTGGTACTTCTATGTATATGATTAATCAGCCCCTACCTTTTAAAGATATATATACAAATTTCGCGACTTAGGAACTATTAGTTTATGAGATATAGCATTTTGGGTAAAGCAACTTGTGTTTGTTTACAAAAAAAAATTAATCAAAAAGTATTTCGTGTGTTAATAAAGCATGCCTTTTGGTGGAAAATACTGTTGAGTTTGAGATCTGCACTAAGGAAATCAACCGTTGAAAAGATATTTGCTAAGTCGGAAATAGGTGAAAAAAGCACCGAGGACAATGAATTCAGTGGACGCCCTAGAACATTATTTGAGGTAATGCACGAAATATCTCGTGTCATCAAACAAACAGTCGTCGCACTCGCGACTTGGTACTCATGTCACTGTAGACAGTCATAGCTTTGAAGTTGTAGATAATTTCGTCCATCTTGGAACCAGCGTAAACACCACCAACAATGTCAGCCTAGAAATCCAACGGAGGATAACTCTTGCCAACAGGTGCTACTTCGGGCTGAGTAGGCAATTAGAAGCAAAGTCCTCTCTCGACAAACAAAAACCAAACTCTATAAGTCACTCATAATTCCCGTCCTGCTATATGGCGCAGAGGCTTGGACGATGTCAACAACAGATGAGTCGACGTTGCGAATTTTCGAGAGAAAAGTTCTGCGAAAGATTTATGGTCCTTTACGCGTTGGCCACGGCGAATATCGCATTCGATGGAACGATGAGCTGAACGAGATATACGACATAGTGCAGCGAATTAAAAGACAGCGGCTACGCTGGCTAGGTCATGTTGTCCGGATGGACGAAAACGCTCCAGCTCTGAAAGTATTCGACGCAGTACCCGCCGGGGGAAGCAGAGGAAGAGGAAGACCTCCACTCCGTTGGAAGGACCAAGTGGAGAAGGACCTGRCTTCACTTGGAATATCTAATTGGCGCCACGTAGCGAAAAGAAGAAATGACTGGCGCGCTGTTGTTAACTCGGCTATAATCGCGTAGGCGGTGTCTACGCCAATCAAGAAGAAGAATTTTGTTTTAAGTTAAACTTGCCTTTCTAAGAAGAATGCACCGCGACCTAAGGTCTATTGCCCTACAACAAAGATTTGTTTTGAAGAGTATTATGTCCTGTTTAATCGTAATAAAATGAAATTTTTGTGTCGGTGTAACAATAGGAAAATGGCTCCATCATTTCACACTGAGTCCAATTGACAGCCTAGTAGACTGCCCATCTGGTGCATAATGCAAAATCCATCTGGTTCAAGCATGCAACGGCCAAAAAGTCTGCTGACAAGGCTATTGAATCAGTCTTTTGAGATGCAAGTAGTATAATGTTCATCGAATGATTACTGAGCCAGATATGATCCATTGGACATGTTTAGTTGGTTTCATTTCTATTCTACCATTCCTAAACAGAGGTAATGTGGAATCTAAGACAGAATTGCTATCTGTCAGAATTACAAATCAATTCTGATTTTCATTGGTGACATGGAATCTGTTTGGATTTTCGGCTTTTCGAACATTCGTAAAATGAATATTCGAATCAGCTGTTTACTGATGTGACGAAACGTGCAAATAAATACATTTGGGAGCAATCCTATTGAAGTTTTTAATGAGTTCCGATTTAAGAGAAGATTTTAGAGATAAAATTTATCGAATGAATAAAGACGCATTTTGCGTGTTAAATTACGTTTTGTAATTCTTCGTTAATGGGAGAGCCCGCTTTAGAAAAATCTACATTTTTTTGCTAATACCTCTTTCAGAATTATCTATGAATATGTCGCGAAAGATATAGATGTGAATTCGAAATATTGTCAAAGCTAGAAGGGTAATAGTGACTTATCTTTGGCATTAAATTATCTTCTATTTAAATTAAAAATAAAATAAGAAAAGTTATGCTTTAACAACATAAAGTAAAATTTTTTGGTTAAAAATCACTTTTTTTTAATTTTCTGAGTTCAACTAGAACATGAGTTATTGACAAATATGAATCTCTTTCAATTTTTTGTTTCCGATAGAAATTGCGACCTGCATACTGCCCTCCATCCGAAAAATGCACATGCGAGATACACCAAGCAATTGCTTCCTAAAGGCAGAACATCAAAGATTTCGTGTCCAAAAAGTTTTCGGATGATGTTTCAAATCCTAGAAATTTCGCTTTAATCAATTATTTCTTTCCCTCCCAGGCAAGAACCTCATCGATTTTTCGAGGCCTATAATGCAGGCTGCTCTTCTAAATATCAGCATTTTTTTCCAAAACTCAATAATTAAGACACTTCGTTCTTTATTTTTGTTTTTACCTACAGAAATAAAAATAAATTAATTCGTAACAATAAAATAACTTGATTTCTTAATTACATTTCAAATCTGTCAGCAGCTATCGTCTTGCTTTGTTTCTAATAGCAAAACCGACAAAATTGGTTTCCGTGACACCCACAACCGATACATATTCTGTTTCCAACATAAAACCCATAATATCTGAATTCGTGGCCCCTACTTTTTTATCGGTTTTAATTCTGATCAGATCTATCAGATTCCACAACACCCCTGAATACTTAGCAATTGTATTCGTTTTGAGGAAGGATACGTTTGAAATTGTGCGAATATACTTTTCGTTTCCGTTTAAATGCTTGTGCAATGCTTCGAAAACATTTCTGAATATGTATCTCAAATTATAATATACTTTTTTATCAATATCGCTATTTTTTTAGATGTAGCGTTTGGTATGTTATGAATGCATTTGTGTCCTTCCCCTATAATCTAGCAAAGAAGCAGCACTGCCTTGTCGACGAAAATGCATAATTCAGGCAGGAGGCTGCTATATATATGTATTTCTGGCCTAGGCAACTAGGCTAACTAAGTGTAGAGAGGTGCAATCTGACATTTCCATTGGAAAGTTTGGCCAGAAATATATATAGCAGCCCTCGTATTGCATATTCAATGCCATTTTTTGTTTTAATATTTAAAATATCTGATCAGTATAACCCATTTACTGAGTTTTTTGTTTGTTATTGTCTTTTTTTATTACTCTTTTTTTAATTAAAATTTTAAATGATTCTTACATGAATTTTGAACACATGCTTAGGATGTGAAATATATATTTTTGGTATTTATGAATTGTTTTGACTTTTAACATAAAGATGGACGTCCCGTGGTTCTAAGCTACCTCCCCATCAATTTTCAGCCAAATCGGTTCAGCCGTTCTTGTGTTACAAATACTTTAACTAAGAGCTGGGTATTAAATTAATTTTACATTAATATTATTTCTTATATAATATAATATCTTCTAAAATTTCATATCCCTAATCTGGAGTAATGTGTAGATGTAATGAATGCAGACCTTTAAGCTCTGCTGCCACCATCAACATAGGTTATATCAAATTGTAATAGATTTGATATAATTCTATTGATCTTCACCTCGACTTTACCAAAAAATAGGAGAAAAATATATAGTATGTGAGATAGGGAAACAAATTTTTAGATTTACTCACCTTTAGTGTGCACGGAATTTCCATCCTTTGGATTTATGATAGGAAGAATTCTGAAAAAAAAATCATTTGTAAAATAATTCTTAAGGGGAATGGTGTGTAAATAAAATCCTTGTGTATTCCTAAAAAAAAATAAAATAAACCACTTTATTATTTTTGATTAAGGCTTAGTTTGCATTTTCGAAAAGTTGATTTTTTTTCAATGTACAGGTGTGAGCATTGAAATAGTGTTGTTGTTGTTGTAACGGCAGAGTTCTGCCGAGTTGACAGTCCTTGGCCGGATAAAAATCCGGGTCCGTTCCGGTTTCCGTAGATCCGACTGTCATGGGAACGGAGCATTGAAATAGTAGTGCCTATTGGCCAAGAGAGTTTTGCTTTAAATTTTGTTTCATTTATGATATTGCCGTCGATCATTATTTTAGTTATATTCTCTAAAGTATAACGGTCCTGCTACACACAACAATAAGTATGAATTGCTGCCGTTACCAATTTTATTGTGATATCTGTTTTTATGAGCGAGCAATAGAGTAGTGAACGATGAGATGATTGCAAACAGGTAATTTTCAATAAAAAAAAATTTATTTTATCAAACAAAAAGTAAGTTTCCAGATCTTTTATTAATTATTCAATGCAAAAAGCAAAAAAAAAAAGAATATGACTTTGCACTTTTTTTGGGCCGCGGGAAGCACTGCAGTGACGAAAAACGAGAATGTATTCAATCTGTCATAAACAACGGTAAATCCTACAAGGGAGTGGAAAGAATTGTAGGGCGTTAAGAAGCAACGACTCACAATGCAATTATTTATTAAAAAAAAAAAAGACGAAAAACGGGGCGCAATATGGATTCCTTCCGAAAATTTTACACCAATAGTTGTAAGATGGAGATTCGGAATTAACTGAACCTGGCCTATGGTGTTCATACGGTGAGAAGACTTCTACATGTACATAATTTATATATCCACAGTCCTCGATAAGTACCGTTATTAAAAAAATCATATAGCAAGTTGTCTTAAATTTGCCAAAGGACCGATTGAGAATTTGCCGATTGAGAAGTGGCGCAACGTCTTGTGGACAGACGTGTCGAAAGTTATTCTATACGGCGGTAAAGGGTCCCTTCCGTATCTAAGACGCTGCCCTAATAGAGAGTACGACCCCATATTCAGCACAAAAACTATGAAGCTTGGCGGTTTGGTGTGTTTTTCTTACAGGCCCAATTTTTTTGTGCAGTCCCAATTCACAAGATTACTAGCATAAAGGACCGACACAAATTCGAGGATATAATGCAGTATATTATACCATTTGCTGAAGAGGACATCCCGCTGAAAAGGATATTTCAGCAGAATAATGACCCGAAGCATACCAGAAGAGTGGCAAAGGAGTGGTTTCGGGCCAATGGAATTGAGGTCATGGATTGGCCAGCTCACTCCCCTGACCTCAATACCATTGAAAACCTTTGGGCAGACGTTAAGAAAGCCGTATGGAACGACAAACCCAAAAACAACAATGAGTTGTGGACCGTAGTGCAGCAAGCATGGCAGAATATACCACTAAAGAGATGCCAGAGTCTCGTAGATTCTATGAAGAGGCGTTGTATTGCTGTTATTAAAAATCATGGCCATGCTACCAAGTACTAATATCTCGACGGAACTTCCCAAAATCCTTCAGTTAAAAAAAAAAAAAACTATTTTACTGCTCCCATCAAATTTCATATATAAACACAACTTTGTGAAAAAATATATCTTAGTCCCATTCAAATTAAAATATTTTTATTAATAAACGTAGCCAGGGAAACGTGATAAACTTTTCCGTTTCAATTGATGTTAAAATTGTTTAGAATTTTGCATAACTCACAGGTATGTAGAACTCTAATACCCACTACTATTTCACTGCTCGCAACTGCATATTCATATATTCGCTACAAATTTCAAGTTTATCCGAATTTAATCCGACAGAGAATAAAAAACACAAAGTTTTATTTTAATGAAAACATATCATCAAATTCCACATGAGTTTTTCTCCAAAGTGTTATTTCAAAGCCGATATGCACAATTTTCATGTACTTGATAATAACTCACTTTTTACTTCGAGGCTTTTGCACTGAAGGCAGGATTTCTACGGAAGGGCCATCAGATATAGCAGACACAATTGGAGTCTGACTATGAGAACCGTCCCGAGATATATGTGACATGTCTGAAAAATTATACGGAGTACTATTAGCTAAGTTCGTCTGTGGTCTTAAAATACTTACCGATCATCTCATATGGTATACTACGTAGTTGTTCAGCCAAAACAATCGGTTGTTGGACATATATGTTTTGTTCGGTATACTCAATATCTGCACTGGACGATGTCTGTGAAAAACATTTAAATGCAAACATGATTCAAAAAAAGGGAATAGACTCTACCTTTGATCCATCATAATCTTCAAAGATATCCTTATTGGTGTTGGGGTCAATTATTTTGATAGCATGGAGACGTCTACGAGTTGACTTTTGACCAGCTTGTGTGGGTAATGTCGTTTGTACAACACCAACAATTGACTGAACAGCCACTTGTTGTCCGTTAGGGTTCGGGGCTACGCCTAATACCGTTGGATTAGTTCCAGTTGGAACTGCACTTGCCGATAGCACTGTTCCGGGCGCCAATGGCATTTGTGTTTGTGTTGCGCCTTGTGGTCCTGGCATCGGGCCATTCGGACCTGTCATTGTGTTGCTAACACCAGTTGTAACACCTACGGCACCACGCTGTGTAGGAACAGGGTAGTACGAGGGATATGGGTATGGATAATTTGGTTGTAGTGGTTGTGGGTATTGTGTGTACGGTGGCGCAGGAAATGCCTGACGCTGATATTGCGGGAATGGCTGTACAACAACGCTTTGATGCATAGTTTGTGGATACATAGCTGGAATCGGAACATGGCGAGTACCATTGCGAGGTGCTGGACTTGCGGAAGGTCCTCGATATAAACTACCTGCTGAATTTGTATGTACTTGGCTGGAACTGTTGGTAACAGTCGGTTGAACAAACTATATAAATAAATTCATAAGTAAGAATCATAATAAACAAGTCAGTATCAATTCATAGTATGAAAGAAAATCGATTTTTCTGTCCCTATGTATATTTAAATCTTTAAAACTACGCAACGGATTTTGAAGCCGTTTTTTAATAGATAGAATGATTGAAGAGGAAGGTTTATAAGTACAATAACATCCCTTAAGTAGTGGAGAAGCTCTGTTATCTTAAAAATGATGATGTAAATAATTACATTTTTTCCGCTTCCCATGCAAACGCAGGCTGAACCTATCGCGATTTATCAAAATAAAGTACAAAGTATTGTACACATTGAAAAGGTCCACAGAAAATTCGGCGGTGGTACGTCTATCTCTTATGATTATCCCACAATAACAGTTTTTTGTAATTTACTTTTCACGACAAATAATGGCTAATTTTCAAAGCAATTTTGCCCAATACAGCATTAATCCTTATCCAATTAAATACCTTAAATACATTGTTGATTTAATATATGTAGATCTATATGATCCTTTACAGCATATGATTTACATTCATATGCTGAATGGCCGATTTTCATTATGCATTATGTGCTGTCCAATAGAATAACTGTCGATTGAACTCCAGTATGAAATGTTTCTACTGTTTCACACCGACACAAAAATTCGTTTTTATTACGATTAAAGAGCACTGAAACATTAATGAGAATCAGCAATTCGTTGTTTTTGTTATATTATGAACTTACGAGGCTCTCACTTTGCACAGGGTTTTCGCCACTTTGGGCCGTCATTGTTCTCGGTGCTCATTTCGAGTCTGTCCAACTTAGCAAATATCTTTTCAAAGGTGGATTTTCCTGGTGCAAAGCCCAAATTCGACAGTATTTTCCTGCATAAATATTAACACACGAAATGATTTTTGATCCATTTTTTTTTTTTGTAAACTAACACAAGTTGCCCAAGTCATAATTTAACTAATAGAAATCATATAGATGGTAGTAGAAGTAATATCTATGTATCAGCCACGGTAAAGCGTGGGCGGGTCCTCTAGTAACTATATAAATTTAAATATGTATATAAAAACAATAATGTTTATATTTGGGTAACTGCAATTAATTTTTTGAAATTAGGATGATTATACTTTTATTTATATGTATTAATACTAGCAGTCCCATACATCCCTCATCACTTAGCAACTTCTGGCTTCTCGCACAACTAGTTCCGTGTGTCAGACCGTCATACGGCCAAGGTAACCGTTGGCGAACGTCGATTCCGCACGGTGATCGCAGAAAAGCGGAACTCCGAACTAATTTCCCAGCTTAAGCAGCCGTGGAGCTATCAACACATTCACCGACTCCAATATGCATGCAATGAGTCTGTGTATGACACTGGAAATCTCTTTGCATGCCCCGCGCTAACCACACTCATCTAACACCCCTTTTAGTTTGGTCCGACCCCGTCGAAACAAGTAGTTTCCTGGTCCTCCCGATAGATTGCGTCGACGACAGCCTAGATAACCCTTATCATCCTAACGGGGACATCAGTCCGTTACTGTTATAACAGCAATAAGGCATATCAATCAATACTGCTTTGTGCCGGCTAACTTCGGTGATAGAAAGTTTTCTGGAAGGAGGGGAAGTGATGTTATGCGCCTTCCTAGTCATCGAAGGTGCTTTTTTTACAACACTCCGAAGAGTGTAGCCAAGGCGCTGGAGAAAGAGAATGTGACAACACCGGTGTGCATACTAGAATAGCTGAAACCACCGTAGAAGATACTAGGTCTCAGGACTACAAGAAGCTGCCGACAGAGTGATAGCCAAACACACACTGCTCCAGATGACAGTACAAGAATGTGGCAGAGGTAAGGTAATATCATCTATGCAGATGAAAGAGTTAAGTGAAGTAATATTATTTGCGCTTCTCCCAAAAGCATTATCAACATGGTAAACTTCACCAAGAAGTTCAAGTTTGCGAATCAAGATTGGCTGAAAAATCTTCCGAGCTTCATTGCGAGTGGGCCAAAATGCCGGCAAGTCGCATTCGCTTGCAATTCGTTTTTTGACCATCTCAAGACCATAGTTAAGGCAAGAGGTGGCCAAATCGAACAAAAGTGAATTGGTCCTAAGTTTATGATTATTTGCACACATTTTGTGCTTTAAAATACATAAATAAAAGTAATTTTCCAAACCGGATCTGGTGTTGTTGTTGTTGTTTTAACGGTTATCAGTCCCCGTTGGGATGGTGATAGCCATCTGTGTTGTCGTCGATGTCATCTAACGGGAGGCCCAGGAAACGTGCTGTTTCGACGGGGTCGGACCAGAGGGAAAAGGGTGTTAGATGGGTGGGGTTGGTTGGGCATGCAAAGAGGTGGTCAGTGTCATGCGGAGACTCGTTGCATGGAAGACATATGTTGGGTATGTCTGGGTCTATTCTGGATAGGTAGGAGTTTAACCTGCTACAATATCCAGAACGAAGTTGCACAAGGGTCACTCGCGGGAGGGAGTCGGTGAAGGTGTTGATGGCTCCGCTGTGAATGGTCAGTGCCTGTCGGAAGTCTGTAGCGGCCGAGGTCCTGTCGGCGTATTGTTCGATGTCGTCGACGTGATGAAGGAGTGACCTCCTGATGTTCCTCGGAGGCGGTTCCGCTCCCAGCAGATGACTGCAAGGGTGATTTCCGCGAAAACATCCTAGCAGGAACTGCTTGAAGAGGAGTTCATTATGCTCCTTGACTGGGAGCATAAGCGTCTCGCTATGTAGGTGCTCGATGGGAGACATCAGGAGGCATCCCGTCGTGGTCCGGATTGCTGTGTTCTGGCAGGTCTGGAGTTTCCTCATCTGCGTGCCACTGCATCCAGGCGACCATATGGGTGATGCATAGTTAAGGATCGGCCAGCCGATTGCCTTGTAAGGTGCCAACAACGTTTCTTTGTCTTTTCCCCATGTGCCCCCGGCTAGCGACTTGAGGATTTTGTTGCGGCTCTGTACTTTGGCGATGATCGCGGTCGTGTGTGGAGAGAAGGAGCATAGACTGTCGAAGGTAACACCTAAAATTTTAGGGTTATTGACAGTCGACAATATTAAGTTCCAGTTTGTACTCCTTCGTCCAGTTCGTGAATATGGTCGCTGTGGATTTGGTAGGGGAAAGTTGGAGGTTCCTTGCAGTGAGAAAACGAGAAAGGTCGGAGAGGTAGTTGTTTACCTTCGAACACATGCCATCGATTTCATTGCCCGACGTCAATATCGTTCAATCATCAGCGTACGAGGTTATGGAAACCCCCTCTGGTGGTTGCGGGAGTTTCGAGATGTAGAAGTTAAACAGTAGCGGGGAGAGGACACCACTGTGCGGTACCCCCTGTTTAATTCTTCTCAGTTGAGATGTTGCGCCTCGAAATAGTACGGATGACTGACGACCGTTCAGATAGTTCATGGTCCACCTCTTGAGCCCTGGATTAGGAATGGTTTCTCAATGTCCTGCAGTAGCGTTGTGTGATTGACCCTGTCAAAAGCTTTTGACAGGTCCAACGCTACGAGGATCGTTCTCTCACGTCTTTAAGACGCTAAGTGCTGTGGTGGTACTGTGCATTTTACGGAATCCATGCTGGTGGCTGGCTAGGCTCAGGTGGTGAGTGAAGGTCGGGAGTAACAAGGCTTCAAGTGTCTTCACTACTGGGGAGAGGAGAGTTATCGGGCGATAAGATTCCCCTTGGTTGGCGGGTTTCCCAGGTTTCAGTAGTGGGACCACTCTTCCTAGCACTTTCCACACATCGGGTATTTGAAGAGTGGCTAGCGACAGGTTGAGGACCTTGGTGAGATATTTTACTCCTGTCGAGCCTAGATGCTTTAGCAGTAGCATGTTGATTCCATCAGGGCCAATGGATTTGGAAGATTTTGCTTTGTTGATGACACCTTGAACCTCTCCATCGGTGAAAGTAAGTGGCGCGCCGTCGTTTGGCATTTTGCGCCGCCGTCGGTTAACACATCGTTTGGCTTTGTCTACCGAAGTAATTGTAATCTGCCGGCTAAAATAGCTCGCGCACTTCTTCGGGTCCGAAGAGGCATGACCATTGAATTGAACTACAACTCGGTCGTCTTGACTCTTCGGGTTGGACAAGGTTTTGATAGCAGCCCAAAGCTTACTCACACCGGTGGAGAGGACTTCAGGTGCTCTATCCATTTCGTCCGCTTATGCTGGTTTACCATACGCCGAATCTCCAAATTGAGATCCCTTATTCGGGGATCCCCGGGATCGGCATGGCGTAAGGTGTCGCGCTCATTAGCTAAAACGGCTGCTTCGGCTGGGAAGTTAGGGCGGATTTCCGCTATTCGTCCAGCTGGTATGAAGCGAGCGGTAGCTGCTGCGATCACCTTGCGGAATTGACGTTCGCCAACGCATACGTCCGTAGGAATGGGYAGAGCGTTGAAGGTGCTCTCAGTAAATTCGGTGAAGCCAACCCAGTTAGCTTTGTTGAAGTTAACGAAGATGCGGATGTCCACAGAAACGAAATTAGCAGGTTTCTCGATCGAGATAATTATGGGTAGGTCGCCAGGTTATGCTATTTATCAGACCACCGCTAGCGATTGTAATATCGGGCGAGCTACTACAAGTGCCCATAACTCTGGTGGGGGCTTCGTCATTCATTGTGCAGAATGTCGAATCGTCAATCTGTTCCGCCAGCTCCATCCCCCTATGGTCATTTGACAGACAGGAATGCCAAACATTGTGGTGGCGTTAAATTCGCCTAGCACCAAACGGTTTTCACCACGAAGTAGCGCATCTATATTCGGGTGATATCCTGTACGGCAACATGTAACTGGGGGGATGTATATATTAAATATTTCGAGCTCGACATCGCCTGACCGGACAGCTATGCCCTGACATTCTAGGGTAGCGTCCCTGCGATCGATGTCTTCATCGATTAGACGATACTGCACAGTGTTGTGCAATATGAAGGCTAGGCCACCAC